ATGCTGTTGATATTACCTCTTCCATACTACCCAATATCCAAGGTCACCATCTTATTCTGGCTAACAACAGAACCAGCCCTTTCAAGATTCCAATGACTGGTAGCCCCATGGAGATGCATATGCATTTGATGACACTTGCCCGGCACATGTTAAAGATCTACCCTTTGGTCTTATGGCTACCTTTATTTGCAGGCTCAGAATGGCATATTCTGTCATAAAGTCAATTTGCGAGCTAATGTATGAGAGGGTAGATTATCTGAAGAAAAAATCAGTAACCCCTTTTCATAATACCAAATAAATAATTAAGGGCTTCTGTCCAATGTTGCTAACAAGATTCCTGTCTTCCCTCCACAAATGGGTATCAAAAATATTTAGAACTATTGTTATGCAGCCATTATTCTGAAAAGTTCTTTAAAAAGACTGACTGAAAAACACAGATGGGAAAGTTCTGATTCATATCTTGGGTCTTCTTATTTTCAGAATTAACCATCAACAATTATCTTTGCGCAGTGTTGAGGGGGAAGTTGGGGAGGCGAAAAACCTATCCTTTCAGAAAATCTTTATGAAGGTATTTCTGTTCCACTTTGGAGAATAATGAGGTGGCTTCTGAAATCTCTAAACTTCAAATACCTTTTGTAGCAAACTAACAATTGAGAAAGGCATTCATAAATATCTTCTTTGAATGAAGCATGGGAAGGGATGATAGAACATTCTGAAATCACCAAGATACCAGAGTAACAGTAACAGAACAAAAGAGAAGCCAATCTCCTTTCCTTTGGAAAGAAGTTGCAGAATTGGGGTGTTGCTGCAAGAAAAGCCTTGCTTTGAGTCTACAGCAACCGACCTTCCTAGGCAGTAGAGGAACTATGGGAATTGATTTCAAGACTGCCATGATGAAATGCCATTTTGACAAAAATCAAATTGCTTCATTGTGTGTGACCTATGATTTCCAGTTTTCAAGGGTAGTGTTCTTAGAAGCAACATAAAGAAAAAATGATTAAGGCATGAATCACTGTGGCCAATTCTTAGTTCCTCATGAAAGGGTGCAGCTGGCACCCCAGATGATATTGAGCTGAGCAAACAGCTCAACTTTTTCAGCTGCTATCAGCTGAGAACAGTACTGGATCCACAGGCTTCACTTCAGAGCCTTCAAAGGGAGTACTATCTTAGAACAGGTTATACCCCAGTTCCAGGTCTGGGAATATACTGATTCAAATGACCTCCATCTTGCCCACTCGTCTGTATATTGGAGCATTAGTTGTATCAGGAAGTGGGTAAATACTTCCACTAATGGAGGGCTACAGTCTCCACAAACCAGCTACCTGCACAATGTGGATTCTTATAATAACCGGACCAACAGATATGACTAGGAACTGCAGGAGGACCACACAGGATTCCGTTTGTGGTGGGGAATGGTAGGCATGCTGTTATACCTACATAGATTGTTAAGCAGGAGGAAGGGTAACTTGGTTCCAGCGAATCTAGCCATGAGCTGCTTTGATCATTGTGCATGGAGGCAATATCACCATGTGTTATCCTAGTAGTCCTTTCCATTTTTGTGGTCTGCGTAACTCAACTCAGGCAGTTTATCTGATAATTACTTTTCTGCATCTCCCGTTTTGGAAGGAAGCTCTATGGAGCAGATTTGAGCAGTTCATGGGTAACATGTACAAATTTTAAATGCCATTTTACATAAGCTTGATGCCAACCTCATGCAATAGCCAATGGATGAAAGATCAAAAGAAGGAATAAAAGATGAAAGTGGAGTGGCAATTTAGAAGCTTCCACTTAGGTCCATCTATATTTTACTATTTCTGAAGAATTCATACATAATACTTTTTTTTTTTTTTAATGAAGGAAATAAACCATTTTAGATCCTCAGAGGGTAGCAGAATACTGCCAGGAAACATGCCAAACCATTTCTGGTATGACAGCTTCAATCAAATTTGCTTTAGCAAGGGAGAAGAGATCTTAAGGCAATGTACAGAAAGGAAAGGCCATTTGAGCCTTTGCTAAACTGAGTTTTCTTCTTTGCCTAAATGCCGACCACAATGACCAAGGGGCACTCAGCAGACAGAGAGCTGCCATGAGTTGGAAGCATCTCGCAGAACTGTTGGATTGTTTTCAGCCAAGGCACGGCTTAAATGGTTCATGGGATCACAAAGAGTCAGCCATGACTTAACGACTGAACAACAACAGCTTAAATGTACAAGGCCCTCAGGACTTTTTAATGGATGGGAGTCTTCAGTTTGCCCAGCAGTAACAAACATCAAAAGCACAAGAAGTGAAAACAAACTGCTTAGCTCAAAGTTTAATTTTCTTATGACTCTGGGACAAAAGTACACTTGCCAATTGAACCATATGCCCAGCGGGAGAGAGAGTGAATGGAGTAATGAAAGAGAGGAAAGGGTGCTTCCAAGGACTTTTAGCTTGGCACTGCCTATGCCAGCATGTGGTCTTGGACAAAGGACTCCCAACAGAATGTACAGCTTAACCCAAAAATGTTTCTGACCCCTCTTCTGCTGTGCAGGCACAATGTATTTTCTAACTGTTTGAGTTTTCCCAAGTAGTATATCAATAGTCAGCTCATGTCTCTGCTCCTGCAACTAGAGAGCAATGAGACCCAGTACCTACTTAGATAGCCCAGTATGTATCTGCTGAGAAGGAAGTCCCACCGGCTTTGATGGGACTTGTTCTCAGATGAGTATGGATTTCTGATCTCAGCTGTCTAAATATTGATACAGTATTTGCTTTAGCTTACTTTTTTTGTGCCAGAGGGAGAGAAAGAGAGAGAGAGAGAGAGAGAGTTATATTTTCTTAGGAACCTTGTCAAACCAATTTAGAAAATCAGTATCTCATTGGCATAAACTCTATTTTTATGTCCATCACTGTGAATAGTTGCATAATCACATATTATTCTGTTTTATTCACAGCTGCAATAGAGTATTTAGCCTACAAAGAACAAACAGGCAGAATTCAGATTTTTCTTTGAATGGCAGCTCTAATGTTCTTCATCTATAATCTGTCACATCGTCCCACCATAGCTAATTATGAGCATTGATGAGGGTTTTGTCACTGTTGCAGGACTACTTTCTATTTAGTTCAAATTAAAATATGTGCTACAAGAAATCTTTTTTCCATATTTTTGTGCTACTGTTTTGGTTTCCCTTCCTCATATTGTTGTATGCAATTTCACATTTTTTAAAAGTAGACATTATAAAGGGGTTAGCGCATTTAACATTTATGAAAAGAAGTTGTTAAATGAATTAGAGTTGTGACGAAAATCTAATATATATTTCTTTTACAGGATGAATATAAGTTCACAGGCTTACATATAAGGTTTTGTAGGTTGATCTATGCATTCCAAGTACCTTAATTAACTATAGTTAATTCCATAGCCACATTTGGTTGAGTACACACAACATGCAAAACCAGAAAGTGTGGTTTACAATTCACAGAGGCTCACTGTGATTTGCGAACAAACACTATATAGGAGCAGCTGTGTGCCAGTGTGAAAACAGCTCCACATCTCTCTGATTTATCTCTATCTATCTATCATCTATCTATCTATCTATCTATCTATCTATCTATCTATCTATCAAATCTATATAGCTGCCCATTTACCAGAGAAACTGTAGACAATGTACAGAGATAAAAACAAAAACCATCATTTACAAACCCATTAAAGAAACTAGGTTGAGGCCTCTAAAAATATCATTATGAATATGTCAACACAGCCACACCTACCTCTGAGTTCCTTAATATCCTGGAAGGCTAACAGAGTCAGGACTGTCCATATCTCAGGGGGAAGCCTGTTCTACAAGATAGATGCCATGACAGAGAAGGTACATTTCTTGAGACCCACCAAGTGACACTGCTTCACTGATGGTACCTGCAACATGCCCACCCTGTCTGATCTGGTGGGACAGGCAGAAACCATTGGGGAGAGATGGCCCCCTAAGTAACCTGGCCCCATGCCATGTGATTGTATAACATTGGCTGGGTTCAAGAGTATTTCTAGCCCAACCTGAATCTGCAGTAGAGCTGAGGCTCTGGAGCTTGTGGGCCGTTCATTTCTCTATTTGTAGGGATTCTTTCCTCAGCTCAACTCCAGCTCTTGATCCTAGCAGGTCTTCCAAGGGAAAAGGTGGCCTGATGCAAATTCTGTTTCTCCATATTGGAACTGCTGGGGTATTTTTGCATACAACCAGACAAATTCACACCATGTGAATAAGAATATGGACCATGGAAAAGCAATTTATTTTATTTACCTTTTGCAGAGAGCTAGGGTAAGGAGATTGTGGTTATCGCAGGAACTGCAGCAACGGGAGAGTGGGGGTGAGCAGAGATTGTGGCTGCTTGCTCTCAATAATCTTGAAGGCCATTGTGGTCTTCAAACTGCTTTTGAGGAGCTAGGGAGTACAAGCCCTGTTGTTATGGAAATGCCCTGTTTTTCAGTGTCCCACCTGCTGATAAGATCTGGGATGGCCAGTCATGGGTGGAAATCATCTTTCTGCCCTCTATAGAAAGGGACAGGGAAGTCAGTTTGGGCCAGACCTAAAGAAAATGTTCTTGAAGGAAAATCTGTGCCACTGTGGTTCTCCTAAGCATCTGATGGTTAACAGGAATCAGTTGGAGTCTTAAAGCCTTTAGCAGCTTATCTTACACTCAGCCTGTCAATATAGGTTGATAAATGTTATATCACAGAAACAACACCAGCCCCAGTGTCCTTTCCAAGGAAAATGAACCCTGAAAGACAGCTGGCACCCATCCTGAAACTTCTCATTGCTCAAAAATGGGTGGCATGTATATCACAATACTTTTTTCTTTTTTCTATTCTTTTTAAATTCTAGAAATAATAGTAAAAATCATACTTACCCATATTTTTTTAGATAAGACCAAGCGTTGCTTATGCTTCCTCCTTTGCATCCATGATTCTTGATGGCACAAGATATCAGATTCTGAGGTGAAAGGTTGCCTGTGAAACCGCCGTGGGAATGAATTGCTAATCTATCTGCAGCCACACCTATTGGATGGGAAAGAATCAGATGTCAGTTATAAAGCTTTCGGCATGAGATTCCTTAATTTTCCTTATATTACTGTGAAGATACAAGAGCTTTTTAAAGGATTCCCATAAAACTGGGGATACCTTTTGTCATATTTTAGGATTGCAAGTGCAAATAAAATCAGCTGGCTTGGCCAATAGATAGGCAACCATGAAACCTATGTGTCCCAATAGGGTTGCCTGCATAGATGCCCTATGTGTAGTATATCTAACAAAGTTCTCCATTGTTAAAAGTGGGTTACATCAATATAGATGGGTTAAGAAGTGAGTTCAATTCAATTTTTATAAGATCTTGCCCATAGTAGCAACATTCTTTATAAAGAGCATCTATTTCTTCCATCTGATTACATTTTATTGCATATTTTTCTTGCACATAAAGAATCTACTGAGTAAGTTCCAGCTTAATATTTTATTTTTGTTCTCTCCGAAGGATTAAAAGGGGAAAGTACTCTTGCAGTTATTTTTCAAAAGAAGAAGTCTAATGAGGAAGAAGAAATCAAAAATAAACTGGAATGCCATGCTGTCTTTTCAAGTGCACCTAGCAAGAAATCAAGAGTAAGTTTAAGGCAGGTATAGACAGTCACAGTTCTAGGCACAAGCAGTATAGCCAAAAGAGCACATTACTTGCAGTTGAAAAAGCCCAAGATGCTGCACAGTTTCTTTGGTCCAAAGGACCATGAATCCAGCCTGGCCATTCATAGGAAGCCACGAAGATTTCAGGCAAGTCTGCAGCAGCTCCTGTGTTTTCCTAAAAGAAATCAAACAGTTGGGTGCAGAAAGATATAAGGCACCAGCCTGCCCCACTGAAGCACCCACAGACAGAACCATCTCCAGAAAGCCTTGTTCACCCTCTTCCCCTTCAGCTGCATACATAGGCCGTCATTACAGACCACTGTGCACATCTCTCATACATTCAACCAACGTTTGTTCCTTAAGTTGTGTGTGGCAGAGAGGAGTCACGGAGGCATGCACAGACCACTACTTATCATAACAGAGTAGCAGTCACAATGGGAGAGAACAGAGTTCTCTTATGTGCTGTAGAGATCTCTCATTGTGCTGTGACATGCAAGGATTTTACCCAAATGAAAATACGTGCCAATACATACAAGGCAAAAATCATTTTGAAGATGTTTGGAACACTCAGTGTGTTTGGATCCACCTGGAAAATGCTGTAGCAAGAATGCTCTGCAGACTATTTATTAGCTTTGTAACAGTTTACAAAGAGGTGGGAAGTGTGTGATGTTCTGATGTTGAACTAAACTTCCAGTGCTGATGGATGGGAGCTGTACTTCAGCAACATCAAGAGGAAAACAAATTCTCTCTCTTTGGCCTACAGTAAGGTGCAGATATAGTGGAACTATAAAATTAGGAAATAGAGGAAACTCTAAATTTCATTACAAATATTTACCCGGGTAAGTACAATAAGTCGTGAAAAAATCATTTTAACAGGGAAGATTTGTAGTCTTGATTGGTCAATTGCCTATAAAGGATGCATTCTTTGGGTGTTGTACACATGGTGACAGAACAACCTATTGTCTACAAAGAATAGTTGAAGTGGTGTTTGTACTTTGAATGGAAAACAGAGAAAGTAGAGACCTACTGTGACTGGCCTCATGTCCAGCAGGGCAGCAGATGGTTGAAACGTGCCAAGACGATAACTGAAACCTTCTTTCAAGCTCATTCCCCAAAACTGACTGTAGTTATCAGCTTTCCATCTGCCTCACAAATGGAAAGATATAATGTATCAGGTATGTATACACTTGGCTGTTTTAAACTCAGCATACTTCAGAGGTGCTATCATTTATAAATCTTTTTCAAATTTCATGCAACCAGTTAAAACTAGTATCAATAAAAATGATTATTTTCCCTCAATCAGTGTGTTTGGAATCAACACAATTCAGGATTCTGGAACTTATGGAGCACGATGATTCATAATATGAATCTGTCCCATGACTTTCCATTTTATTTTTCCTTGGTCGTTTTTGGATTTGACATGTACCTGAACAAAAAAAGTTAATAGTGGCCAGGGGAGGATGAGATCATCAAGGAATCCTTAGAAGGCCAGTTTCAGAATCTTGAAATAATTCTATTGATTCTAAGAATTCTAAAGATTCTAAAGATTCCTTGATGATCCCATCCCCCCACTCTTTGCATGCTTATTGACTTGCAAATGTCCTTCGAATATTAGGGGGGAAATGGGACAGCTGAGAAGAAATGCAGGGTCTCCTTCTCCTCCACCCCTGTCATGGCCAGTGGTTGTATTAAGGTGATATGCATAGCCAGGTCAATTAAAGATCAAGCAATTGCATTCACTCACACTACATGCTGAGCTTGGTTGATCTGAATCTTTATTAGGACTGTTTGGGGTACGTGTGTGGCTTAGTGTGCTCTGGGAACACAGCATGTTTGGTTAGTTTATGATTCAGTATACTGTGTGTATTCAAAAAATGAAATAATTCAGTAACCAAGTTTGACATGTTGCGTGTGGCAGAGAGGAGGCATGTGAGATTTCTTTGCCTTTTTAAAAGAAATTTAAAGTGACTTACTCAAAATTGCGTATTTTGGACACTCACTCCCAACAGGTCTCTCTCATGTAGTCTTGTGACATTGTTCAAGATAGCAAACACAATTAGCTATAAAAGTCCCATTTTTTTTTTAACATGCCTTGCACATGCAACACATGTAAAAAATGAACAAGATTTGATCACCAGTTGTGGCTGTTACCTTACTTTTTTCTATTCTCCTGTGGATGCCCCTGGTCTTAGGGCACCTTATATAAAAAGCTGATGGTGGTATAATCTTTCATATAAACAAATAATAGGTCAGAACTCATTTCATCAGATGTATAAATGATTATTCTCAGTTAATAACTCTAAGTTCACGAGTACAGAATACCATTAGAAAGTGAAGCCAAAAGAACTATTACTTTCTAATAGAATATTTTTTTAGGATGGTGCTGCATAAACCTATCAGAGAATGCTCTCTTATCACAGCAGGAAACTGAAATTACAATTGATGGCAATATTTTTTCTCTCCTGTGAGATCGGTGAGATCAGAAGGGAAAAAAAGCACATCTTGGTAATATGCCTGTAGCATATTGCTTCATTACATTAGGAGGGTCAGGTAGATTCCCATCTCATGGAATGAGTGCCTTGAGTTGTAGAAACACTCAGGAGATTATTCACTTTGAAATCATAAACTGCAAAATGCTAACACTGGCAAACCTAGAACCAAGAATCCAAAAACCTTGTCAGCTTCGTATTGTTGAAGGCTTTCGCGGCCAGCATACGATGGCTGGTGTGGGTCTTCCGGGCTGTGTGGCCGTGGTCTTGAAGCTTTGTTTTCTAACGTTTC